GTGTGTGTGTGTGTGTGTGTGTGTGTGTGTGTGTGTGTGTGTGTGTGTGTGTGTGTGTGTGTGTGTGTGTGTGTGTGCGTGCGTGCGTGCGTGTGACTATGTCACTCGCTTATAACTTTTGAGCGACTGAACCGATCGGAACGAACTAAACGGCGTTCTAAAGAGTTCCCTCGAACTTAGATTTCCTGAGAATTTGAACCGATTCGGACAGATAGATTTTAAGAAATCTTGAAAAATCTAAAAAAAAACAAGAAAAAAATCATTTTTAAAAGTGGTTTTTTTGGAATATCTTTTAAACGGCTCTATCGATCAACTTCAAAAACTAATCCGCTCTTAAGCTTGAAAAACCACGCCGATCGTCGCTAATCCGGTCAAAATCGGTTGATTCGTTCGAGAGATATCGTGAACGAAAGAAAACCGAAAAAAGTGTTTTTTCCGGATTACTCCGAAATTTTTGGTTCGATCAATGAAAACCTGAAAATAATTTATGAGGATGATAAAACTGCGTCGAATGCCGCCAACCGCGTAAAAATTGGTTGATCCATTCAAAAGTTATTGCGGTTTGAAAATTCCAAAAATAGTGTTCTATGAAAGTTCTATCAGACTTTTGAGCTGGGAGAGCTCAAATGCATAGAAATATTATTTCTTTGAACTCAGTGAGCTCAAAATATCACATCAATTATATTTTGAGCTCAAAAATTTTTAAAATGTCATAAGTACAATTTTAAGCGCCCAGAAATCGAATTAGCGGGAAGTTGCAGGGATGGCCTTTAGGGTGAACCGTTTTTCTAATTTTTTTTTCTTTAATTTATTTTTCACTTTCCGCTAAGAAAATTAAAAATCTTCAAAAGTTGGGAAGTTATTGGTTTAACCCCGTTTTTCGAAAATCGAGTTTTCAACGGATGTTGACGTTTGGAGGTCCTAGGAAGCTTCCCCGAATGTATCCGCGATGATGTCCGTATGTCTGTATGCATTAGGGTAATCCAAAAAAAAGATTTTTTTTCTTTTTTCTCAAACAGGCTCAAAAGTTTTTTTTGGGTGCAAAAAAATTACTGTGAAAAGATGAGCCCTTAATATTAATATTAAGATTGTCCTCATCGCATTTTTTTAATTCGCATAAGAATAACATGGGAAAAATTTTTTTGCTTCTTCTGATTTTTCTATCGTTCAAACGACTGATTGACTTATCAATCGCTATTCTAATTTTTATAGAGAATTGAAGGCTCTACAAGAAAGTTCTGATAAAATTTTTTTATTTGTCTACGCGTTCAAACGTTATTCAAGGTCAAAGGTCAATTTTTCAAAAATTTGATCGAATTTTGTAAATTACACCGAAACTGTTGGTTTCGGTATCTAAAATTGTTATTAAATCTATGAATGACTTAAATACATTAATCTAGCAACCATTGTAAAAACATATTTCAATTGAGCCTTCTACTTTAAACCTGAAGATTCTTTCCCTCAACATCAATAGTTATTCAGCTTACTTAGCTCAATTTGAGTTATTAGTCGCGGAAATAAAGCCTTATATCATCACGTTATTTGAAACTTGGTTAAATCCAGATCTAAACATCGTACTCGAAGACTACACTGTTGTTCGACGTGACCGAGGACTTATCAATGATTCTGGTCGATACATCAGAGGTGGCGGTATAGCCTGCTTTATTCTTAAGTCGCTGAAATCATCTGTTCTTCTTTTATCACCTAATCACCATATCAACCAGCCAGAATTTATATTTTCTGCCCTCCGGCCGGAAAGTGGCAACTTTCTGGCCGCTGCGCTAAACAAAGTTGTCACATTCCGGCTACGTCGAGCAGAAAAATAGTATACACACCTTGGCCAGTAAAAAGTAAAGCCTCAGATCACATGTTTGTCAACCTCGGCTTCGCCTTGGCCAACAATTACATGTGATCTGAGACTTTTCTTATTTTACTGGCCTAGGTATGTAATATACTATACTTGATATTTCACCAGCCAAGGGGCCTCATGTTCTCTTAGCGTCTATATATAGGAGGCCTCAAGGTGATTTACTGGACAGCTTCTTTACTGAATTTAATAAACTTTACTCTAACTACAGCAACATCATCATTACGGGGGACCTAAATTGCAATCTTCTAAAATGTGAACGATCGTCTAATCATCTCAAGTCCTTCATTACGGAGTCTGGATTATTTTGCGTGCCATATGGTCCTATTTATCACACCAATGATGTTGATTCATGGCTTGATGTAATTATCGTGGATAGTCATGATAAAATCAACAATTTTTCTAAGTCTCCCACTCCTATCATTGGTGGTCATGACTATCTTCTTTGTGATTACAAGTTCCCTCAGCCAAAGTGTAATGTAAGATCTGTGAAGTTCAGAGACTTCAGAAAGTGTGATCATCTTGCCTTATCTTAATCACTTAGCCAGCGACTTGACCTTCGTAACAAGGATGTTGATTCATTGGATCCCAGCGAAATGGCTTCGTATTTTATTTCATCCGTTACAAATTCTCTGGATGATTTTGCTCCTTTTTCAGTACGTAAACTAAATCGTCCGAAAAATCCTTGGCTGACCAATGAGCTTAAATCAAAACTAAAAAATCGTGATACCATTTACAAGCAAGCTCGCAGGACTGGTGACTAATTTGCTGAGGCTGTTCAAAAATTTAAGAAGAGAATTAAAACTTGAACTTAATACTGCACGGGATGTTTACCTTAGAAATGCTTTGACAGATGAGGCTCCTGAATCCAACATCTGGATTAAGTTGAAAAGGTTGGGTATTGTTAAATCCAGACAGACTTCCCCCCTTGATCATTTTGATGCTGAGCAATTGAACAATTTCTATGCAAGGACATTAACCAAATATCTTGTACCAACGACTTTGTTACCAGCATTCCGTTTCGATGTCATTCCAAGGTAAATTGTAATTTCAGCTGGGCTAGGATCGACATTATCGATGTTACAAAAAGTCTTCACCTATCGTTGGCGAAATCATCTGCCAGCAGTCCGGATGGTTTGAATCTCATGTGGCTGAAAGATCACTTTGCTCAGATTTCCCTCTTCCTGACTGCTCTGTTTAACCGCTCGTCGGACCAGGCTATTTTCCCTGAAGCCTGGAAGTCTATCTTCATGGTGCCGTTAAATAAGACAACTCCGCCGAAAACAATGTTTGATACCAGACCCATTGCTACCCAGGAAAAAATGAATTTGCCTAATCATATATAGTTATATATAATCACTTATATATAATTAGATCTGAAAATTGGCCAGATCTAATCATATATAATCATACATAATTAGATATAATTATTTCTATAAAAATAAAAAATATTCACCGGGAGCGGGGATCGAACCGGGGACCTGACGCTTTAAAGACCAACACACTACCTGTTTACCTACGAGACTTACTGGAAGAATAAAGCTTGAAATACCTACAACTAATGCAAATCGAATACATAATCGATTTTTATAAGTTAAATTAATTAATACAGTTCCATTATTTCATCCACAAAAAACTACAGTTTAAAAAAATTATTAATCATTGGAGTAGCAGACTCTGAGATGAAAACAGAGAATGTTTTATAGTAATCACAAAATTTATATATAATTATATATGATTCATATATAATTATATATGAATCATTTCTAATCATATACGATTTATATATAGTTATAAATGATTCATATATATTTATATATGATTTCCGTATAGTTACACTGATATTGATAGAAGGATTTGTTTATATTTATTGAGCTTTATTAACTGTTAATAAATACGATTTATTAAATGTTAATAAATATTTGTTAACAGTTAACAAATATTTATTTAAAATCAAAAGCAAAAATAGCAATTTTCTTTTGACATTTTTTATATCAATTAGATCTGATCAGATATAATCATATATAGATTTATATATAATCATATATAGCCCTAGACAACTCAGGTCTAATCAGATCTAATTATATATAGACACCCCATTTTAGATATACCAACGATTACTTCTGAACAAATTGATATTTCAAGACCGAACCTTGTTTATTAGTTCAAGAATGCGATGAACTGGGTCCGTATTGCATATCAGTAGCCTAGTTTATGTATTTTTTTTTTAATTGAATTTTTATTAAAATTCACTACGATACAACCGTGCAAAGACAAACAAATTTTTCTTATTTGTCACGTGAAAACTATGGCGTCACTTGATCAAGTTAGATTTTTTTAAACTGCGTGCGCATATGACAAGAAAAAAGGGCACTGATATTAAAAAAAAAAACTACTCTGTAAGAAATCACTTAATTATAATTTTTTTTTTTTAATCAATTACACAATTTATTTTTTCTTAAAAAATGAATGAGCGTTATGAGGCGTGCACTTTTGGATTTTCCAAACTTTTTTTCCTATTAGACAGGTAGGAACTTAATAGACACATTAGGCCTCTAGGAAGATTCAGTTCAACAAGAGATTCCAAAAGCTTCGAGATATTGACTTTATCAAATGCCTTAGAAAAGTCTGTGTAAACGTGTCAACTTGTAAACCAGCTAAAAAAGAGTCATGTACAAATTGTGTAAAACATAAAAGGTTAGTAACCGTAGATCTACCAGGGACAAACTCATGCTGATACGGAGATAATAGTGGTTTAAAGTAAGAAAATAGTTTTGAGTATAGGTGAGTTTCAAAGACTTTTGAGAAGGCACATAGAATAGAGATCGGTCTATAATTTTTTATGTCTGATGGATCACCAGATTTTAGAATAGGACAGATTTTGGAGATTTTTCAGCAGTCCGGGAATATACTAGATTTAAGGCAACAGCCAAAAATGATTGTTAGTGGTTCAGTTAACAGGCCGACGTATGATTTAACTACATTGCATGGAATACCATCAATACCAGCCGACCATTTATCAGGAAGCTTTTGGATAGAATTAAAAACATCTTCACACGAGGGGAGTTCCACAGAGCCCAAATAATCCTTTAAATACGGACATGAATTGAACTGATCTGAAGCTGAAAGAAAGACAGATCCAAAGTAATCCGCGAAGCTATCAGTAATTAAATTTGAGTCAGTGGTTAATTGATTATTGATTACAAAAGACTGCGTGTTATTTTTATCAGATCGAAGTTTTTTCATAAGAGACCAGAATGCTGAGGGTTGCTTGTCAAAGTTGAGCTCGGAAGTCTTAATATATTCTAGCCGAGCCGCAGCAGTCTGGGACTTAATTGAAATTCTCAGCTTCAAGAATTGTTGGTAATGAAACGAGGACCCAGTACGCTTAAACTTTAATCTATGCGACTCTTTGAGCTTCAGATCAGATTTAATTTTGGAACTGAACCATGGAGGAAAAGTTCGAGTATTTAAATTACTAAATCGTTGAATAGGAGTATATGATTTAAACATAGAATTAATCGTATCATAAAAGGAAGCACACAAAACATTTGGTTCGCCTGGTGGAAGGATCCGGTTCCACTCTATTAAGACTAGTTCATTAATGAGAAGATCAGTATTAAGTTTACTGAAATTAATGTCATGCTTAGGAGCAGGAGATATTTTACTTTTGTAAGTATTATTTAAATTAAGTGAGATGACAAGAGCAGGATGATGATTATCAGGGTCAACTAAGGACCAAGAGGAACCTTCCACAAGACAACCGATGTTCGAAAAGACTAAATCAAGACATCTATGATTAATATTAAAAATAGAGTTAAACTGACTAAGCCCAAGATGCTCTTGCCAGTTTCTGATGATGTTGAACTTGTGATCACAGACGGAGATCTTGTAGCAGTTGCAGAAGGCAGGGGCGTTGAAGTCACCAAGTACGACAAGTTGACGTTGAAATTCAGATAAAAATACAGTGATATCAAAGAATTGGTCAAATAGATGTCGGCCGATGTCCGGGGCAATGTACACGATAACCAATATAAGTGAAGGTTTACCAGGTGATGAGATTCTTATACATGTTGCATCCACGTCTTCATATTTATTTGTGAGATGGTCTAGAGGAATTTGCGTTGCTGAGATATGCAGTTTGATAGCGAATAGGACGCCGCCACCTTTTCTCTTTGTGCTGGAAATTCTATCTGCTCTGAAGACGGTGAAGATGTTTAAGTCCAGGAATTCTGAAGACAATTTGTCAGGTGTGAGCCAAGACTCTGTTAAGGCAATACCGTCGGCATCAATTAGCATAATAGAATCAGCAATCATATCAAACTTTGTGTTAATTTCTCTAGAGTTTTGGTAGAAAATAGTTGTTTGTTTCCGGATCTCTATTATCCTTGAGATTCCGTTGCGCGTGACCAGGCGAATGTTCTCCTCGCCCTTCGTTTTTCTTTGAACCAACTCCTTCTTCAGCAATGCATGCTTCTGACGTTGTAAAACTGACCAATCCCGATGAATCTGGAGGTTGGCAAGGACCACTGGTAGGGTATTTGAGCGTTTGGATGCCTGAAACGATTCCAATAAGTTATCAACATCTGCAGGTGACGAAGCAATAACTTTTACAGGGCGCGGTCTTGATAAGGAGTCAGAGTATTTACCAATTCTGAATGACAATGAAATTTGGAGATGCAATATTAAGAGAGTCTAGCCCAGCTTTAATTCGATTAAGATCTACATTCTCACCTTGAGATTTATCCTCAGGAAGGCCATAAACGATGATATTTTTTTTACGCTTATCTCGTTCTTCGATTTCATCGAGTAAGTGGTCATCATTCCGAGAAGACGTGGAGGGTGACAATTTGGCTATCTCAAGGTCCTTTATAAGATTATCACATCTACTATCAATTCTGGCAGTGTCTTGATTAAGATTGGCCAGTCTGGATTAAATGTCATCAACGCGTTCGACAAGTACACTTGTATTAGCAGCTATTAAGTTTTGTACTTCACTTAGCTTGGCGTCAACCAAGCTAAGTTTTTCATTAAAAACACTTAAATATTTATTAACAGTGTCTTCAAGGTTCCTCTTAAGTGAACTAATCTGCGGTTGCATAGTGCTTTGAATGATGGGGCCAATGGCTGTGTTAACAGACGTGACAATAATGTCCTGTAAGGAACCTTTTAACTCTTCGATAATTGATTCCTTCAGCGCTTCTATTGAAAAGGGTAGAGGCCAGGCAGGTCTACGAGAACAGCAGCGAGTGAAGGCACCTGAAGAGTTAGTTCCGGTAAGAAGAGCGCCGCTTGGATGATATTTGGCACTCCACTGAGGACAGGACACTGTTTTACCTATAATCTTCGCATTACATCCTCGGCAGCACACATTATCCACATCAATTAGTGGGGTTTTCAGCGGATTAGAAGTTGTACCTTCAGTCATAGTTACTGAATTCGGTGCTTTATGTAGTCAAAAACAATACAAGTACACTAAGAGTACTACTGGCTGTGTATTATGACTGTACACAAAGCCGCTTATCACTTTTCCAGTAACCTTGCTATAGACTAATAGTGAATGCATGATTGTAATTATAAACGTCACAAAAGAAGCAAGAACCGATGACCGTTGATCACAGGAATGTATGTAGAAATTTATTAAAAGCAATTACTGAATACACTATGTAGATAATCCGCAAAGACAACTACAGAAGGTGAGGGCCACACAAAACTGATGCACTGTTGACCTTCAAGTACTATAGTTTACCAATACATAAGAAATGTTTAATGCACAGTAATGCGTTCCACAGATGCGTGAAGATAACACAACTTGACCTCGAGAGGAAAACAAAAACTTACTGAAATTTTTTATTTTAGTGATCCAATTAACAAAAATAACAACTTTATATTTTACAAATTTGGGTTTGATTTACCAATGCACAAGAAATGATTACTGCACAATAATGCGTTACACAGATGCGAAAAAGACCGCGCAACTTGACTTCATGTATATTTTGGTAAATAATTAACTAATTCTCGAATATTAATAACTTTATATTCGAAAATTTACACACAATTCGATTGAAAGTCGATTTAGAGTCTAAGATTACACCGAAGTTGGGTTTGGTTTAAGCACAAAACTATTATAAGTTGAATAAATGCTAAGCGGAACAAAAGCGATGTGTACACTCCGAAGTCAGAACTACTACTCGTTATACTGTTATACTGTTTTGTTTTTCTACTTATTTACACTTTTGTTATAATTACATCAATT